GGAGTAATCAAGCACCCATTCCTAAAAATGGTCACATTTTAAGATGGTCAGTAACCTACCTGTGGCTCGATCATCCAGTGCGTCTTAGGTCTCCCTCCCTGTTTTCCACTGATGTACATGAAGGCAGAAAACACCGGAATCTTCTTCCAGAATGCCCGGGATATGTGGAGGGGTTTGACGAAGGAAAAAGTGATTACAGTGCGAAATGGACTGAACCACTTCTCCTAATAAGGCTCCAATGCAAAAGAGGAGGAGGAGGGTAGCCATAGGGAAGAAACGCCATACCTTTGGTGCTGACATCTTTTCAGTTTGTGTCCTTTGGTCAGAAGATATAAGAAAAGCTCGGCTCAGATTTAAACAAATAACACTTAACATAGAAAAAAAGATCATCGTGGACACAGCAGATAAGGAATGGCAACAGAAAGTTACTTTTGACTCATGTAGGAACCCTTCTGTAAGAAAAAAAATGTATCTGTTCTAGAGAGTAAAAGTGATCATGCCAAGCTGGCTTCTGTAAGCACATAACTGTGCTTTACCTTAACAAACATGGCTCCTGTGTTTCAGCTGACAAATTAATTTGTATCGAATTAATCTCTAAATGTTTGATAAGCTTCTTATTTCAAGCAATTCAACCTGAAACACTGAAAAGTTCAACCTGAGACGGAAGTGTAAAACTATCTGCAAATCTATATATGTATAAAATGTTGCGTAAAAGATTACAATGTTTTAACTTCTGTGCGACATCATTAAAAAAAAGGTGGAGATATCAAACATATGTGAGGACAAAGCGTATTCATGTAGTAAACAGGGCCATGTCAGTGCGACTCTAGTCTCGATGCAAAACTAGAACGAAATAAACAAAGAAATCAAACCTGTTGAGAGAAAGTCATGTAAAACTCCTAAAACTAAAACAATAGCTTTAAAGTTAACTTACCACCCTCACAGAAAACTTGTCAAGTTGTGTCTGGTCAAACTCTGTGGAAGAAACAACAGATATAGCTCCTGTGGTTGTGGTTGTTTCTGAAACTTGACATACATTCAGCAGCTGATGGCTGCAGAAAATTTGAAGCAAAGTTAAGGTACAGTTTTGCACATTAGAGCGTGAGAATACATTTCTTGTAGCTGTCTTATAAGATCTTAAAATCTGATGGATAATGTATCATGCATAAATTATCAAAAGGTAATCCACGTGGTTGAATTAGTTTTCTATGGCGTTTCAGTCGTCCCCCCCTTCCCCCTAGACATGTCAACTTTCACATAGAGACAAAAACTTTCAGCTCATAAAACAGCTGCTCTTTGAGGTGAGGTGAGCATCCTGTTTTCTTTACAGACCCCCGACACTTGGTCCCATGCTCTCTTCATCCCCCATCACCTCTAGCTCTTGAACTCTAGAAACTAAGCATTATTTCTGTATCTGGGTCATATTCCCTTATCATACCATCTTGCTGAAAAATTACGCCATATTGGTGTTAACGGGATCTTGAATTTAAAGAACAAATCCTGTGTAATGAGTGTTTATGTGCTGGGAGGAGTACTTCCTTTTGAACTGGAAGCAGCCTCAGGAAGCGTGGCCGTGTTCCTCGTCTGGTTGGGGGTTGAGCGGACAGGGCAGACGGACAAACTAAGAAAAAAAAAACGTAATGACAAAATTAACAGCATAAAGCTGGCAAGATTAAGAGAGATGCTCAGAGCACGTGTGAGAGTAAAACAGACTTTGCCTATAGCAGTGTAACTACAAGAAAGATTGATAAGGGAAGGCTCAGGAATCCATTGCCAGCCTGCGCTGTTGCTAAAAGGAATGCCCAACTTTAAAGATGAATGTTTTGGCTTGGAGATGGGTAGGCTCATGACTGAGAGCTCTGCGACTTCAGCTATACAAATATACAAATATATATATATATATATATATATATATATATATATATATATATATATAT